TAATTTTACAACTAAAACCTTTATACAAATCTAAAAATACGAATTTAAAAAATGTTGAATAAAATGAACAAAGATAATAATTGAATGGGGTTCCGTTAGGGTAGCTCAAGGCTCAATATAAATACTAAGGTCTGACATATCTGATAACTAGGGATCGGATTTTTAGGTCTAAAAACGCGCTAACTAACCATCACTGACCACTGCCCTTTCCATTTTAATTTATGAAGAAATCAGAGAAAATTGGCGGGAAACTTTCTTAAAACAAGGGTAGAATAGGAGTAGTAAGGGACCGGCCGAAGTCGTGGTCGTGGGGGAGGGGTCCGGTCAAACCAAAGGGTGTAGGGGGGGTTGCGGCTAATTTTCTTTGATTTTGCCGACAATATCCTATGGGTGTAGGGGGTTTTCGGGAGATTTTCTTTGATAATTAGTATGACTAATTGACCAATTAGCACCTATTGAACAAATCGCTTTGAACTTGCCGATACATCGAAGTTGTGGGGAAGGGGTTAATTGACCAATTAGTGCCTACTAATTGGTTTTCACTGAATCTAACCAACGAATCGTAGTCGTGGGGTAAGGGGTATATCAATTAGTGAGTAATTAATCACTATGGGTGTCAAGTGAATAATTAATCAATTTGTGCTGGATGATGGACAAAATGGTCAACAACAATGATTTAACCCATACAGCTCTCTTTAGAGCTTTAAATTTAATAAGTGAAACGAGACATTGACTAATTGATTTTTATTTGTATAAACTTTTAATTTATGAAACTTTTGTTTTATTTTTTATTTGTTTAAAGGGTAATTAAATAACAGCGAGGAAAGGATTCCCTTTTAATCTGACGATGGCAGTGCGCGAAAGGTACAGTACTTTTTCATCTATTTTAGGAAGAGAAGGTTAGAGACGCAGAATCGCAATGTGACTCTAATCCTCTCCTTTATTTTATAGAAATCCTGAATTCATTTCTCTGTGTTGTAGTAGTATGCACGGTCTAACAATACACTTGAGTCTGAGAAATAATTCAATTAAAAGGTCAGAGATTCAGATTAGCAACGTGACTCAAATTCCTCTTTTATTTTATATATAAATTAAATTCCTTTCTCTGATATAAACTAGGAGCAACAGTCTAACATAACACTAGAGTCTACTATTCAAATATAATTAAAAATCTTTTAAGCAATTTCAATTAATTAAATTAATGTGACTAATAATTAATAAGGGCGGAGCTTGTAAATATTAGCACCATTTTGTTAGTTAGCCGCAAATCCTCATATTTCATAAATTCATTTTTAATAATTTCATTATCCAAATTATTTTAATTTTGAAATCTTAGAATAGTTTAAAATGGCATTAAATATGAGCGACAAGAAATACCTTGCCTCCCAAATTCTTCCAGAGGTCGAATTTAGTATTACTTCAATAGGAATTACTCTCTCCAGCTCCCGCCTTTCCACACCACGCTTTGTTCCCTACGACCAAGCTGGTAAATGTCGTGAATGCAAGAGCACAGAGGTTGAGCTCGATTTTGCAATCACCAAGGAGGGAGTAACAACATGGTGTACTCGCTTTTCAGGGAGCCGTTTTGTACCATTTGACAAAATATACGACTTACCTGGTCATTGCTTTTTTAAAATTCGTAATAAAGGAAGAGTCTTTAATATAAATGGCAGTTTTTGCGACGTCAAATGTTGTGAGGAAAATAAGGATATGAAAACAAATATACCCCCACCATCGATTCTTCCTCCTCCTCCTGCAACTACGGCTCTTCCTCCTCCTCCTCCACCACCTTCAGCTCTTCCTGCTCCTTCTCTTAATATCCAAGCTACTCTCTCAGCTCCTAAGCCTCAAGCTCCAATTACACTCCCTGCTCCTCTTCTTTCACCGCCATTAGCAACTCCACCAGTCTCTCCACCATTAGAACCACAACCTCCCACACCTCCTACTGCTGAAGAAGGAATACTTAATGAATTCTTTGACAAATTATCGGCTGCTACAACAGGGATCCCAACTCAGGCGCAAAAATTGGAAGCTCTGAAGGAGCAAGCGGCTGAGATGGAAAAAGAAGAGATGGAAGCAATTGCTTCAATTCAGTAAATCATTTTAAAAAATTTTTCGATTTATTATTTTCAATTAATTGTAATTTTATTTTCCTAAATTGTTTGTTATGGAATCTTCCACATTTTCGAATAAAGAACTGAATTTTAAATCGCCTTTTGGTATGATTGTTTCAGGTCCGAGCTCTAGTGGAAAGAGCACTTTTTTATTAAAATTTATTGCCGAAGCAGCTTACTTAGTTCATCCCACACCCAAATCTATATTATACTGCTTTGGTGAGATGAGTAATATTGTACCTCTTCTTCAAAAATCCGGAGTAAGTGTATATGCAGGTGCTCCTCCAGAGGAGCTTATTAAAAAATTTTCAAAACCTTTGCTCCTTATCCTCGATGACTTGCTCACTTCGATAGATGAAAAATATTTGTCTGAGCTTTTTACGAAAAAGTCGCATCATCAAAATTTTTCAGTCGTATTTGTCACGCAAAATTTATTTGAGAGAAAGATAAAGGTTGCTCGCCAGAATGCTCAATACTTAGTGTTAATGCGCTCTCCAAATTCTGTTTTATCTGTCCGTAATATTGGTGTACAGCTCTTTCCTCGTCAATTAGATTATTTTCTTGACGCTTATAAACAAGCTACTAATGAGCCTTATGGATATCTAGTTATCGATATGCACGCCTCTTCAGATCCTAGTTTGAAACTTCGGACAAACATATTTAAAGAGGACGAAGAAAAAATAATTTTCATTCCTAAGAACGGTTATTAAAATGGTTAGTAATTTAGTAAAAGAAAATATTGAATTTTTACAAAAGCTTGCTCGAACAAAGTCCCAACAAAAAACCAGGAGACTCTTAAAAGTGGCAAATTCTCAACATCTTTTGTCTTTAGCAGAAATTTGCTTAAATATTGTCAAATCAAGATTTAATCTTTCTACTCGTCAAAAGAAACGTCTCTTACCATATGTAGATTTTGTTCGGCGTATGAGCCGTGCCAGGAGCGAGAGAGGAGCTAGAAAAGTTTTAAATCAAAAAGGGAGCGGGTTTGGAGTAGGAGCATTTGCAGCGCTCATTACTCCTATTCTTATCGAATTGGCGCGATCATTTACTATAAAAAGCAAAAATTAATTTTAAAATTTAATAATAATAATAATAATGGCAAATAAATTTGTTCTCGTCCCTCAAGATATTTACAGAGGGCTTACAACTTATGATACTGGCGAACCAAATATTGATTTTGCAAGAAGAGAGGTTGAAGGAGCCAAAAGTAAAAAGAATAGGTCTTCAGTAAAAAATATTCTTTACAATCAGGAGCTGAGGCGTTATCTAAGTATGAGGAATGAGCGAGAGAATCGCCCTGTTAAGGTAGAGCTCGTTGCTTCTCCAAAAGGAGCTATCATGAGACAAAATTTAGTCCATCCTTCAACAAATATCAATGAAAATGATGACGATCTGTGGATGAGCGATGATCTTTCATTCTCGTCCTATCCAGCACAACCTCCTAATAGAGCATATAATCTCGTTCCTCCTCCTTCTATTCCATCATCCGAGCAAAATTACGAGGCTCCTCAATTGCCTTCACCTCCTATTTCTCCTACACAACCAAGTACTTCTAAACCTGAATATAATATCAATTCTAAGAAGTTAAGAAATGTTTCAAAAAATATTAAAAAGAGTAAGAAACCAAAGAAGAAAGGAAAGGCCAGATATTCTTCCTATATTGAAAATGAGAGCAATACTAATGAAGATATTCCACTGTATCCTTCTCCTCCTACTAATGAAAATATTCCATTGACTCCTTCTCCTCCTATTCCTCTCCAAACTAAAAAGAGAGAGCAAGATTCAAATAACAATGAAGGGGTTAAAAAAAGAAAGAATACATATGAAAACAAAGAAATTAGGACTAGACAAATAGAAACAGCGCAAATTCAAAAAAGGAAAGAGCTATTACAAAGAAGGAAAGATGCTCAAAACGTTAAAGCACCACTTGATCATGGAGCATTACAACAAATGCGTCGTGATGATGTGGCAAAGCTACTGAATAGAGCCAAACCATCTCGACAACGTCATAGAATACTTAGAGACGGTAGATCTCCCTCACCTCCTATATCGCGACAACTTTTTAAACGGAAAAGGGAGGGTTCTCCAGAAAGGGAGGAGAAACGAATGAGAAGATCTGTTTCAAAAAGCCAATCAGAAAGGGCGGGCCGCTTATGGGCAAAAAACCTTATTAAAGCTAGACGTAAAGAAGCGAATTCTTCCAAATTTAAACCATCACTTTGGTAAATTTAAGAAAAATGACAGATTATATTAAACTCTTAAAACAATTGTATAATAATCCAGAATCGCCTTCAGCGTTTTCAGGAATCGATAGTCTATGGTATGAGGCTAGAAAAATTAATAAAGATATACCGAGGAGCGGTGTACAAAATTTTTCTGAAGGACACCGCACCTATACTCTAATGCGCCCAAAGAGGGTGCATTTCTCTCGAAGTAAAACAATAGCAGCAGGATTCATGACAGATGTCCAAGTAGACTTGGCCGATTTTCAAGCTCTATCCAGACATAATAAAGGCAATCGATATTTGCTGCTAGGAATTGATGTTCTTTCTAAACGGCTCTTTGGAGTCCCTGTCAAAGCAAAGAAAGCTGAAAATATGCTCGAAGCATTCAAGCTCCTCTTGACTCAAATGCCCATGAAACCACACAGAATATTTTCAGATAAAGGCTTGGAGTTTCGCAATAAATTATTAAAAGAATACTTTGAAACAGAAGAGATACAAAAGATTGAACCCGTCCACTCAACAGTTAAAGCTTCATTAGCAGAGAGAGCAATCCGAAATGTTAAACAGCGACTATATCGATATTTTTCTCAAAACATAATACTCAATTGGATTGATGTTTTGCCGAAAATTCTTGAAGGAATCAATAAGTCAAAGTGTAGAGTATGGAATGCGAATGCGAATGGAATGCGAATGGAATGCGACCTATCGATGTAAATTTCGAGAACGCTCAGGAGGTATGGAAGAAAATTTATGGAGAGTTTGATTTTACAAAAGGCAAACCAAAGTTCAAGGAAGGAGAAAATGTAAGGATGAGTGTTGGGAAAGGAGCATTTGAAAAAGGGTATATTCCAAATTGGGGCGATGAAATTTTAGAAGTTGATCAGGTGTTTAACCAAGCTAAACCAATTCGATACAAAGTTAGAGATGAGAAAGGTGAAAGATTCAAAGGCTCCTTCTATGGAGAGGAGCTGGCTCGTGTGCGAAAAGATGCAGATACTGAGTACCGAATTGAAAAGGTTTATAGAAAGAGAAAGAGGGCAGATGGAACATATGAGTTGTTAGTAAAATATATAGGATATCCAGAACGAGAATGGATTTCAGAGTCGCAATTAGTATAAAAGACATTCATTTGTTTCATTGTTTATCAATTTATAATTTTTCATCTATTTGTAAAAAATTTTTCTTTAAATAAAAATGTCAAATAGTTTCTTTGTATTTCTTGAAAGCAATACTACAGATTACCCAGATAATCAGCCAAATAAATTTCGAGTCCATCTCCCCAAGCCTTTGTATTTTTCAGGTAATTGGGTTTGCGGAGTACATAGTATAAGTTACCCATTCTCTTGGCCATCAACAATAGGTACGCTTGATGAGCAATGGTTGAAAATACATTTTATTGATGACAATTTGAAGAAAAATGTTCTCCAAGTACCAGTTCCTGCAGCATCTCATAATAGTGTTGAAGCTCTCAGAAATTATTTATCCACAACACTTAAACATCAGTCTGATGCTATAGACTCTGTTGAAAAACCAGGAGCGTTTATTCCTCCTCCTTCTCTGCTCTCATCTCCTCCGAGAGCTGAGAGGATTAAACGTTCTGGAGATGAACCAAAATCTCCTCCGTCTTATGAAGAATTGAAATCTCCTCCACTATACGAGGAGGAAGAAGAAAATAAAGAAAAATCTCCTTCGCCAGATCTAATAACCCCACCCCTATATCTAGAGGACAATAATAAAGATAAAACTCCTTCTCCAACAAGAGAAGAGCTAAGAACCCCACCACTTTATTTGGAAGAAAAAGAGAAAGAAAAATCTCCAACCCCTTCTACAAGTGAGGATGCGGAGACTCTACCTCCAAAACCAAAGAAAGAAAGAAAAGAGGAGCAAGAGCCAAAGGCAAAAGAAAATGTTTCTCAAAAACCCACTTCTACCGATTTGAGTACCATAAAGCCTGACAAGAAGGAAGAGAAAGTTCACCGCGAAGAACCTGTGACTCAAAAACCTCCGGTTCTAAGTAATATAGGAGTGAGTAAAGAGGAAAATAAGAAGGAGCAAGAAAAACCTTCGAGTCAAAAGCCATCCTCTAACCTTTTGAGTACTATTGGAATAGCTAAAAAGGAAGAGAAAAAGGAGCAAGATAAGCCAAAATCTCAAACACGTCCTTCAAGTGCTTTGAGTTCCATAGGGTTAAATAAGAAGGAAGAGAAAAAAGAGCAAGATAAATCGACAACTCAAAAGCCTCCTTCAAGTGTTTTGAGTTCTATAGGGCTAGACAAGAAGGATAAAAAGGAGCAAGAAAAACCATCAGGTGTTTTGACTACTTTAGGATTAGGTAAAAAGGAGGAAGAGAAGCAGAGAACTAAACCATCACCTCCGACTCCTAGAGAGGAATTAAAGTCTCCTCCAAGGTACAAGGAAGATAATAAAACTCCATCTCTAAAACCTGAAAAAGAGCAAATTAGTACTACACAAAAACCTCCAGACTCTATTACTCCTATTGCTGTAGATTTATCAAGAAAGGATGAGAAGAAACCTAAAGAAAATAGTACACAAAAATCATCGGTTTCAAGTAGTGCAGGGTTGGAGAGCAATAAAAAGGAAGAGAAAAAATCCCAAAAACGTCCTGCGAGTGTGTTGGATAGTATAGGCTTAGGGAGCTCGAAAAAAGAGGAGAAAAAAGATGAGCAGAAAATACAAAAACCCCCATCTACCGTTTTGTCTGCACTAGGATTGGCTAAAAAGAAAGACAATATGACACAGACAACACCTCCAGCTTCGCCTACTGTATTAGGAGCTATGGGATTAAATAGGAAAAAGCAATACAATTCAAGAGCTGACAAATTGTTTGAAGTTCTATTTGGTAAAGACTACAAACTGAAGGAAGCAACACCTAATCTTACTCTTTTAAAAAATATAATGGATTCAATTGAATTACAGTATCTCAAGGATTTTTCTCGCTTCAAGGCAGTTTTTAAAAACGAAAGCATATTATCGATTTCTTTCTCCCCTCAACTTGGGTATGTTTTAGGATTTTCTAATCCTAATAATGTTTATAATAATGAAATTGCAAAGTATGGTTGTGATTTAAGAGGAGGGTTCTCAAGTTTTGCCATATATGCCAAAGGATTGACAGAAAACATGATTGTCGGTAATTCCCTCAGCTCTCTTCTTCGAGTTGTCTCTATTTCAGGTGCAGTGCCGGGAGAATACAATGAGAAGATTTATGACTCACCCATCTACGCGCGTGTGCTCCCTAGAGAAATTAATGAAATTGAAGTTGAATTAAGAACTATGGATAATGGAAGATTAGTTCCTTTTGCTTTCGGAACAGTTCATATTGTATTAATTTTTAAAAAAGTGATAAACTTTTAATTTCGAATTTCATTTCTATATAAATAGCTCATTTTTAAAATTTACTCATTTTTAGTTTTAAATTAATTAAAAAATGGTTCATATTATTTTTGATACAAGTACGGTATCCTACGATAATTTCCTGCCCAATGAGATGATTGGACACGGTATTTCAGACGAATATAATTATTTCAGAGGAGCTCCTCCCTTTCAAAGGGGTTATGGTCAAAGAGGAGCAGGCGTTGGTGATGTGATGCGAGGTCTCTGGCGGTTCATACTCCCTATTATTCAAAGAGTAGGGAGTACTGTATCTGCGGAAGCTCTTAACACAGGACAGAGAGTCTTAGAAAGAGTTAACAAGGGAGAGCCAATAAAAGAAGCATTAGTTAGTGAAGGAAGAAAAGGAATCGATACTGTGTTGGAGAAAGGTGGTCTCCCTAAACAGTTTGGAACAGGAGTAAAAAAGAGTATAAAAAGGAAACGAGAATTAGATAAACTTCATCAAACATTTATTAAAAGGAAAAGATTACGAAAAGACGCTTTTGGTCTCTATTAAAAATTATTTAAAATAATTATGGCTTTCCACAAAATTGACGGAGAAAGTATCAATTCTATAACAAATGCTCTCGACTTTTTTAATGTTCCTCCTACAAATGTGAGCATCTCCTCCTCCAAAGTATTTGAAATTCTTCCTAGTAACCCTCTCACAGATACTCCCTACCACTTTAAAATTCATTCGAGTTCAAACTACATTGATTTATCAAAATGTTATTTACTCACTGAATTTCGCATTCGGAAAGAAAATGCCAGTGGTCAAATTGTAAATTTAACCCTAGACGAAAACGTGGCACCAATACAAATGATTGGTAAAACTTTTATTAATAATATGAGAGTTAGTGTAAATGGTCGGGAGATCTTTAATTCAAACTCACTATACGCATACAAGACCTATTTGTCTCATGAGCTCTCTTACTCAGCAGGAGCAAAGAGCTCTCACTTAAATTCTTCTGGCTATTATTATGAACCTGGAACAAATCAGCAGTTAGGGAGCTCTTTTAATTCAAGGAAAAGTCTATTTACTAACAGCAGAACGGCCCAGTTTGTTTCAAAATTAGACGCAGATATCTTTAATCAACCACTATATTTAATTAATCATTGTGAGGTTGATATTGAGATTCTACCGAATGATAATAGATTTGTATTGATAGCTCCTCCTACCCCTCCAGCTCTCGCTCAAGCAACAAATTATCATTTTGAAGTAGTGAGCTGCAAGCTCTATGTTAAAAAAGTTGAGCTCATGGATGGACTGGCTTTAGATATTACAAGAAAACTTGATACAAAACCAGCTCGCTATGCTATTAGAAAGACAATGATGAAACAGTTATTTATAAGCCATGGTCGTTACGAATTTAATTCAAATATATTCATGGATCAAATCCCTAGGAGAATAATTTTAGGTCTCGTTTCAAATTCGGATTATGTGGGTACAGTTGAGCGCAGTCCGTTTAATTTCCAGCATTTCAATGTCAGAGAAATTAGTATTATTGCCAATGGAAGGTCTTATCCTCAGGCTGCTTATGATCTAGATTATAGAAATTATAAATATGCTAGAGCGTTTAATGATATGAACGATGCTCTCGGTTTCGCAAATTCATGTGAGAGCAATGGGATTACTTATCAACAATTTGGCCAAAGTAGTTGTATTTATGTCTTTAATCTTACCAATAGTGGAGATGAACAAGGAGGCTCCTTTGATTTAATAAGAAACGGAACGACTGCAGTAAATATTAAATTTAGCCAGGCCGTTCCAGAAGGAGGAGCAATGCTAATTGTAATGGGAGAAGCGGACTCTCTTATTATGCTCGATAAAAACCGAACTATTGCAAGTGATACTACCATTTGATATTATTTTAAAATTTTTTAGCTAAAATGAAATTTATAATTTTTACTCTATTTTTTGCTCCTTGCTCCTACTCTTTATTTAAAGATACAGATGTAAATTTGGAAAGTTTACCTGAATATTCCGAATTTATTAAACAACTTAGACCATCTACTACTTCTTTACCTCTAATAATAAGATTTCCAAATAAAAATCTTCCTACAATACAGCTTTGCAAAGAGAGTCCGGGAAATGATATTTATGGACACATCTTTTGTTGGGGAATGATTGGACTTTATTTTGTGCTCATTTTAAGTCTCATTGTTTATCAACTTCGATCCTTCTTTTGGGTAATTTTTCAAAGAAAAAGATATAATAATAATACAGATGTACAGCAGTCAAATAGTGAAAATTTTGAACTCAAACCTCTTAACGAGCCAACTATTTCAGGGATGTTTTCCGTGTGACAGGCCTCCTCCACAAATTACTCGGCTCCCTTCAGTGCTCATCATAAATTTGGACTCTCAAAATTCAGGAGGATCACATTGGATTGCTCTTATATACACAAAAGGAAGAAAAGTGATTTATTTTGATAGTCTAGCTCTCCCTGTTAGTAGATGTATTTCAACTCATTTTTAAAAAAATTTTTCTGTTTTAAAAAATGTACATCCCTATCAATCCCCTCTATTAAAAACTTGCTCTCATCATTGTATTTCGCTTGTATATTTCCTTTCTCTGAATTATTCGTTCTTTCAATATATTAAATTGTTAGACTCTCAACCTAACCCTGACTTGTTTGTTACAAAAATTGTAAATAAATTAATTAATCGATAAAATTTGAATTTAGCTTGGCTTGTTTCACTAAGGAATTGTGTTTCATAAATAGCG